GGTACAGTCCTTTCACAGATGGAAATGTTTCACTAATATATTTCTATATAGATTGGAAATATTCTAAAAGTCTGTCTCTTATTCCTTTGCATTTGATAAAACAAATGTGATCAAAATTCTTGTGGCAATTCTTGAAATATCGGCATGTATTTTAGGGTTACAATTATATAAACCTTTTTGTATCAAGTTTAGCTGTTTTACCTTTTGTTTCCTCAGCTTCACATATTCTACACATTTAATTGTGTTCTAATCCTGCTTGTAAATAGTAATTTGCATCTTGCCCTGGCCACTACTGCTTGTTATTCTGTCATTTCTCTATTCAGATCTCAGTAAGGAGGTCAGGGTTGGCTGGCAAATCTTGTAATCTATATCTGAGGGATCCTTCTGCCAAATGCCCTCTCTCCATACCTCTCAGAAGTATGGAGCGAAGCATGTTTCCTCTCTTCCTTTTTTCCTTCTACACTCTGTGACTTGGGCTTCCTCTTAGTGATCATCCTTGTTCAACCAGCAAATTCATTATCAGAAGCCAAAATAGCTCTCCTTCACCAAGTACTGGAGACCTTCATTCCTAAATTATGTTTAGTTTCTAAACTCTTTACCATTATTGTAGTTGTTTGGTTTCTTAAGTTACCCACATAGAGTTGTTATTCTCTATCTAATGATGTCTAGAAATAGGATAGAAATTATCAAAGTATAGAATGTAATTTTGTTTAGTGTATCAACATGTGGGACAATAATTAAGTTTTCTAGACCTAAATTAGTACATAGTTTTATAATTTATGCATCATTTAGGTTAAAAACTATTTAAACAAATAAACTTAGAAAGTACTTACTAGTTTCTTATTAATTTTATGTGCAAATTTTGGGAAAATACTACATTAAAATATATAATTGGAAATATCTCTTATAATCATCAGCTGTATTTATTCAGTGCATATTAAAATTGATTTACTTTTTTTTTTTTTTTAAAAAAGTCCATATTGCAAGAGGTTTAAATGCCTAAATAAATTATTTCAGAGGGAAAGCATCAATTGCCGCTGCAAAAGTTGATTTCATTTTTGAGAATGATTGCTACACTCATGGCTGTTTTTCAGTCGTAACATTTTTCTTCCTGAGGAGTACAAGCATAGGCTCAAAGAACTTCTCAACACAGTGCTTCTGAACTACTAATCTGTTGTCCCTGACATGAGAAATAAAATTTACCCATCCCTGCCCCTCCTTGATTAAATGCTGATTGTTGTCAGGGACACAGTGCCTGCATGCAAGAGTAATTGCCACCAGATGGCACTAGTGTTGCTTTTAAAAAGGAGTCCTTAAAGGCCTTAAAGGTCTAATCACTTAGGCTTTTGCACACTAAGTTTATGTTTTTAACTGCTCACTGTAGCAGTTATTGACTTATCTTCTCAGTCCAGCAGTTGAAAACTTATCTCTTGCCCTCAGACTTAATATTCAAAAACTTAAAATGGGGGGGAAGAAAACATTTCTACCCCAACTTACTGCCAAGAGGTCGTTTTGGGGTGCTTTAAAAAATCTCATTTTTTTTTTGTCTTGAGAGTAATTTAATTTTTATGAGCCTTAGTTTCTTCATTCAAAAAGAAGTAAAAACAAAACTCTAAGAGGGTTATTGTAGTGGTTAGAAGTGGTTTACCCAAAATATATCATAAGTTGACTTTTTAGTATTTTAATGACATCATTGTCAGAAATATATATATACATACACACACACGTATAATTGTAATGTATACTTTATAATATATATAGTATAAGATAAAGTGTAGCAACTACGTTTCCTTTATTTTTGCTAATTAAACTGAAAAATTCTGCCACCAAATCTTCACTATTCCCTGTTCTTTTCCCATTGTTTTCCTCCAGGTTTAGGAGCAAACCCATCATTCATATTTCTGATTGTAAAAAAGTTTCATTTTGATCCAGCTCCCCTTGAAGCACCTTTCAATACTTTGAGTCTTTCTAATCTCTCATAACTTAATTCTTGGGAGTAGAATTTCATCACCTGTGGTGCTACAATTATTTTTATATCTTGAGTTTTAATTTTTAAGTCTAAAGATATTTCTTCTTTCATTTACTAGTAATGTACTTTGTGTGAATCTTCGTACAATTTTTTGCACGTCTATCTGTCCATGCACTTAGTTTAAGGTTTTAAATGTCTGTAAGTGCTAAACACATAGTAGGAGCTTAATATTTTACTTACTTTGTATCAGTTTTGGATGAAACACTATTCCATTAAAGAGAAAGACAATACATTGTCTTGTGGACTTTGTGGGCCTGATTGTTAGGGTTCTTCTTCAATTTTTGATGTTATGACTTAATTAGAGAACTCTAAGTACCCATGAATAAATTTAAATGATTGTGAATTTTAGAGATAATGTAAATTCATATATCTCAGTGTCCTTTTCTCTATACCAACACTGTAATCAAGTTACAGGGTCTTATTTAAGCTAACAAATAATTATATTTCATTACATAAGTAATATGTAACATGACCTTAAAAGCCTGTTTCATTTGACAAGATGGCAATAAATCTAGCGACCAGCTGTGCCTGTACTTTTACAATTTCTTGGTACCTGTGAATAGAAGCTGATTTTAAAAGAAGCTGGAAGAGTCATTGCTTTATATTTCTTTCTCTTACTTGGAATTATTGGTGTTTTCAGGCCATGGAAGTGCCTAGTTCCTTTTAGGTTCAGAACACATTTGAAATCTGTGGTGGTTTTGTTTTAAGAAAGCACAAACTACTTACACAAGCATAAGGTTTCTGAAATGTACTCCTCTAATGTTCTTAGTTACTTGTTGCTTATCTCATTTTGAATAAAAGTAAAAACTGGATTAAAAAAAACAAACTTTAATAATAGGAAATGTGGGTGTGTATGTGTGTGTGTGTGTGTGTATATATATATATATATATATGAAATTATAGAAAATATTTAAAATATCATAGATAATATAAATGGGTTAAAATTTTTTTTTAAAAAAAAAAAAACAGAATTCAGTAAATAGTTTTTTGATCTGTGAGTGATCAAGAATTCAGAAAACAACTGGACCAACCAACAAGAGAAAGCAATTTTAGATCTAAATTTTATATAAATTAAAAAGCCTTATTGTGTTGAAAATCAAGCCAACTGGGTTAAAATATATATGCCTGATAATGTCTTACATGTATGAAAAGCTTCTGTCTTGGATCAACAATAAAGCATCTAAAATAAAATCAATATTATAATTATTACTAACAATTTTTTAAAATGATGTGTACTATGTACACTTCTGAGGGTGTTTCATGTGTTCTTTTAATCTTCATAATAATTCTTTGAGGGGGATGCTATTATTATTTCATTGATAAAGAAAACTAAGACACAATGAGGTTAAGTAAATTTTTTATGTGAGCTGACAATAAGTAGATAGTAAATAGTTTACTCTTTCTGACTACATGGCTGGCTTTTCCATTCCAGGATTGTGATTCTCATGCCCATGCTCTAAATTACTATCCTATTCTGCTTATCGTGGGCAAAGTTTTAATTAATAAGAAACCAGATGACCCAAAAGTTTGAAAATGTTTCAGTTTCACTAATAACACGAATGCAAATTAATATATATTCTTTCATATTAATAGAGTGAGAAAAGACATTTTTTTGGAATGGGGATAGAGATGCCTTTCTTCTAGCATTGTATTAGAGCTTATGCACCATTTGGCATAATTAGCTACAAGCCTCTATTGGAAGAAGAAATGGTGTAATGGGATCTGTTCTACAGGCTGGACGTTTTGATGGCAGTAGGGAATGTGGTATTGTTTTTGATCATTCTTGTGGAACTTTGTTGAGAAGGTGTGTCTGGCTTGTGGTCATATTTTTGAACTCTGGTTGTACAGGTAGTTGAGCTCATGGTGGTCAGCATAGTATGCAAGGCCATCCTTTCTCAAAAGGAGGAGGATCTAGTCAGTGACAACTGTGCACATAAACAACACTGACAGAGTGACAGAGTTTTAGTGACTTTCTTTTTAGGAAATCTCTCTTAAGAGATTGCCCCCAGGGTTTCAGCTTTGATAATAAATTTTAAATTATAAGTTAATTTTATTGTGGCATCATGGAATTCAAGAGTAATTTCATGAAACTGATCTCAGTAGCCTCAACTGTTGACAAATGATTCTTATTGTTTAGTTTGGTGCAAGATGCTGGAAATATAGGTCTAATTCCTTTATTCAAACTCAGTAAATGGTTTGGGACAATTAATTTCCAATTGTTTCCCAGTAGAGCAGATTTACTTGTATATTAATGAGGCACAGGTGTTAGGCCCCTGGTGTCTGCATGCCTGGGAGGCATATTTCAGTTGTTTATCTACTCAGCCATAGGTACTGCAAGGTACTCAAGCTTGCCTTTAACAGTTTTTACAGTGAGGCTTTTTAATTTTTTGATGTTTTCTTCAAATTTGCCTGCACCTGTTAAAATTTTAAAACCGATCATGTAGAAAGAAGTTGCAGAGATTTCAATAGTAAATACCACCAACAGTTAAAGAAAGTAGTCTTCTATTATACTTAAATGCCCAGCTTAACATTAAGGAGAAAGCAGTTTATTCAAATAGATATTTCATGTGAGAAGCCAGTGTAATCAACAATACCTTTTTTTAAAGTCTATTTTCAGAGTAGATACATCTGTCAATGGCTCAAGCAGTCATGTATTGTTATTAATATTCTTTTTTTTTTCTTGTTTAGTCACTGAATTGCACTACCAACATTTTAGATGGAATGGAATAGCCTCCATAGACATTATGAATTTCAGTAACTGGCATAATTATAGCTATCTACATATTCATTAAATCTACAGAAGAACTGTGTCCAAAAAGACAGCCATGCGTTCAGAAACAGAAACTAAATATATATACATTTTAAAAGTTGCATTTCTTAGACTTATTTAAAATTATTTTTCTGTAGCACTCCTCTTGAAGCAGAAGAATTGTAACAAAAGGATTCCCATGCTTTGCTTTCTTTCATATAGGAAAGAATGGGAAGAACTATTTGTAAACAACAATTACTTGGCAACAATAAGGCAGAAAGGGATTAATGGGCAGCTGAGAAGCAGCAGGTTCCGCAGTATTTGCTGGAAGGTAAGAAGAAAATATTTATTTACAGTTTGTGGTTGCAATATATCAACACAGTACCTGATGCCCTGGAAGATTACCCATGCAGAGGATCGCTGAATTTTTCCAAGGAACTTCACTTCAGTTTTTTGGCCATCCGTGTTTATTTTTCATAGGACATTTACTAGTAAGCTTGAACCATGTTAGTCCTGAATAATTTAAGGGAATCATTCAAAACGACTATCTTTTCATCTGTCTGTATGGTACAAATTTCAGAGCAACACCGTTGTATTGCTTAGAGGCTTTTGTAGAAATTTTTGAAGCTGGGCAGAAGTGGGGGAGGTGGATAATCTTCCTGTTTGTGTTGTATCAAGCACCCTCATTTGGTTACCCTCCCTTCTTCCTTCATAAACAGATGGAAAATATTTTTCCTGTTTCTTTTGCTAAAAACACAAACTGAAGGGCAGCAAGGAGAATTGGAAGGTAATTGGGTCATTCTCCTTCAGTGGAAAGGTCATTGGTTACCAAAACTGTTAGTTATGATTACTACTTATCTTTTTAATTGCTTTGAAAAAGTATTTCTTTTTGTTCTCCAAAATGAATTAATTTAGGTTTAGATGTGACCTAAATGTGATTTTTATCAAAAGTTTTTAGGGTTATCTGCCTATATTGAGCATAATGAGTCTGTGCAAGCAAAGACAGTAAGAAACACATGATATATTAGACAGCTTTAGATTTAATAATTTAGATTTAATAATTAAAATACATTTTTCTTCTGTTAGATGAAGGCAGTAAAGGCAGGAGACCTGCTGCTAGAATATTTGTATACAAATATTTGTGCCCCACCCCCATTCCCTGTTGTTTAACTTTTAGTATCCTTCATCTGCTAAAAATAAACCTAAGTCTAGATTTATTTTAATGTTGCATTAAACTAAATTAAATCAAATTTGTCTTTTTAAGAATGCTTATTTTCATAAGCCGATTGCCAATTGTAAATTACATTTTTGCTTTGAATGAGTTTGCTTCTTAGACAATATTCTCCTTTCTCAGACTATTCTTACTGTTCTTCTCTGTCCTTTATCTGCTTTGCTTTAAAATAAAACCTTAAATCTAAAAATTACTAATCAGAACTTGTACCTTGTAATATCTCCCTGCTATTTCATATAAGATTAGAATATAGAATGGGAATTGTTGAGGATTTTTTTTTTTCATTTTTAATATGAATCTGGAGGAAGGCTTGATTCTATTTTATGGTGCAGCTTCTGAGATCTTACTTTTGCTTTTGATTACTCAATTTTTAAATTTCTAACTAACTATATGTTTCTTAAATATCCACAAATATAAATTACTGGAAATTAAAGTAATGATATGAATATAAAATAGCATGAATGGGATATCGATTTTGATTTGCAGGTATTCTTTTGGCCTGGTTTCACATTGTATTTATGATTCTTACAATTTTTTTTTCCCTTGACAGCTGTTTCTTTGTGTTATTCCTCAAGATAAAAGTCAATGGATAAGTAGAGTTAAAGAGTTAAGAGCATGGTACAGCAACATTAAAGAAGTAGTAAGTAAATAGTAAATGTAACTAATGTAATTGTCTTTTATTTATAAAGTCCAGTAGCCTCTGATCTTTCTGTGTGTTTTCATTCTTTACCAGCATATCACAAACCCAAGGAAGGTTGTTGGCCAACAAGATTTGATGATCAACAATCCCCTTTCACAGGATGAAGGGGTAAAGTTCTCCTTTATTTATATCTCAACTATTTTTACCCATTAGAGTTTAAAAGTCACCATGATAAAAGTGTATTTCATGACAAGCATTTTCTTTACTCCACATACTGTACTACCTAAAATCTGGTGGAAATAATTCTATGGTATATACATAAAATATTAGAGGAAGTTCGTGATTTACTTCAGTGGAATGGCACTGTAGAGAAGTCCCAGCAGTCTATAAGAAGGATAAAATAGAAGAGCATATGCTTAAGAACTGGACTGTTCTATCAAGATGGGAGTGGAGAGGCTAGGAAAGTCTGCCTTCCTATACAGAGAAGTGTCCACTTAGCAGGACTAACTTCCAGGAAGGAGGAAGTATCTCTTTGTAGTAAATCTCTGAAGAAGTTTTCAAAAGACCAGGAAAAGGAATCAGGCTGACCTCTAGTATTCCAGTGAAGACCAAGAATGATCATTATTTTAAAGACATTTTATAACTTCTTCAAGTATTGCTGCTCTCATTTCTGTCTAGTTAGGTAAGAATAGAAAAAAAAATTCCCATTCACTACATAATGTTAGCATTTGTTTTTCCTGATATATGTAGTTAGTCTTTGGTATTACACCATAATATATTTTTAAAATTTTCTCTAAGTTCACATTTTAAACCTTGATAAACGCCTATTAGATTATAAAACCAGGCTTTGTAGAAAACATTGCATATCTCTCTCAGTGCATTGGAAATTCAGGTCAGGTACAAGTTGGGACCAGTTGGCCTATGGATATTGCTCTAATCCAAGTACTTTATTATTATTTATAGGGAGAGTAGTAGGATAGTGTACAGCAGTGAAAATTATCATTCAATTTATAGAAATAAAGAATTTTTAAAACATGTAAAATAATATCAGACTGGAAAAATTGATGTTAGGATAAGGGTGTGTTTTTGAGATTGAACTAGATTTTAATAAAAATTACCCCAATCCCAGGTTTTCTATCTGAGAAACCTGAAATAAGAATTTGGATAAGAAAAAATTTAATCACTTAAATTATTAAATTGAAGTCATAGAAGTCAAGCAAAAGTATGGGATTATTTTAATTAGGTTGTTCTCCTTATTTCAGAGTCTTTGGAATAAATTTTTCCAAGACAAAGAACTACGATCAATGATTGAACAAGATGTCAGAAGAACGTACGTAAAACTATATTACTTTCAATAATTCAAATTGGTATTACCAGTTTTAGCAAAATGTAAATCCATAGAGGAGCCAAAATTGAATGCAGTATTTTACTTGAATGAAAAGCAAAGCCTTTGATCAAATTTTAATAGGGATTATTCCCTATGTTACTTTTTAAAAAATATGTTTCTAACATTGATCTTAAAATTATAATTGTTTTTCAGATTTACATGACTTCAAATGAATTGTTGGTAATTGATACAACTGGTTAAATTATTTTAATATGGTTATATTATGTAGTAATTTATATTGGTATTATTTGCCTTTTGCGTTACACATTCAAATCCCTTTCTTACCAAGTTGCTTTTTAAATGACCACTATTCTTATCTATTTTACTTCTCTTTCTCTTGAAGCTATTGTGGTTTGCAAGCCTCTTAATCTACTTAGTATTTACAATGTGAAAGAGCAATTTCTTGTTTACTACACAATAAATGTTCACAACTATTATATATTAGACCTTGTCTTTCTTAGTCATGTGGTGGGAAGTACATGGAATTTGTGATTTGGACCCTAGGGTGAGTTCTAGCTATCTTTGCTATACAATTGTAGGCAGATTATTTTCAACATATTTCCCCTCAGTTTCATTTTCTGTAAAATGGGGATAGTCTTTTAATCATAAGACTTCTGTAGATTCATGAGTACAGGTTGAGTATCCCTTATCTGAAATGCTTGAGACCAACAGAGTTTCAGATTTCTGATTTTTTTCAGGTTTGAAGTAAATATTTGCATAGCATGTACTAATTGACCACCACTCATCTGAAAATTGAAAATCCAGCATTCTCCAAAATCTGAAATTTCTTGAGCATCATATTGTTATCCAAAAAATTTGGATCTTGAAACAATTTGGATTTTGGATTTTTGAATTAAGGATGCTCAACTGGTACATGTAGTAACAGCAGTAATTTATATATGTGTTCCCAAATAAAATCATTGGTATTTGGGATCAGCCAGGTATGTGAAGAGCTATAAGTATCTCTAATGGCTTCCTCTAAGTCCTTCTGCAGTTTTGCCTGTGTACTCCACTGCTAGTTCAACTCCCACTAAATCTATTATAATGTCAAATTCTCTCTGGCTTTCTAAGATTCATCTTTTTCCTGATCCCAAACACTGAATAACCAGATGACAAGGACTGCCTTTAAGTTATACTACATATTGAAAGGACAAAAGTTTCTATTTTAAAATTAAAATAATTTCATTTTAAAATGGAGGAATCATGGATTCAGAATTCATCAAAACCATATCTAACTATGGGGTGCAGGATGAGAAATATGGGGTCATTTTGATGAGTTTGTGTTGTGAAGTTAACTTGGGAATCACCCATTTGTATAGTGAAATTACTGTCAAAGGTGTTAGGTAGCAGTGCTTGATTTCTCTAGGAATTAGAGCACCCTTGTATTGACACACGAGGCATTATATTAATATTTGAATAAAACAAAGGAATTTCTTAATGAATCAAGAATTTGTATGATCAGTGGCAATAAAACAGGCCTCAAAATGTGCAGTAAATATTGCTAACCAATCAGTAGAGGTATCCCTTAAAAAGTGCCAAGCAGTTATATTAAAAAAATTGATAGCTTCAAATCCATCTGTCTACTGAGAAGGATTATAATTCATCTCTCCACAGTTATGGAATGGAAATGGTGGGAGTGTGGCTGTTATGCAGCCACCCACTCAGAGGCCACAGGGACCAGATTAGTTAAAACAAGAGAGGGAGAAAATAAAAACCGGATAGTCAAACCAAATAGGAGCTTTTTCATCATTTTGGTTGGCTACTTTAAACATTTCTGCTTTGCTGTGTAAAAGAGTATTAGGTCTTGAACGCCATATTCTTTTAACTATTTGCTTCATTTTCTGGGTATTTTTCTTGTTAAAGTACACACACACATACATATAGTACTAATTTTTTTAAAAAAATTATCTCTACTACTGTATCTTAATTAACATTGTAAGCTCAAAATTCAAGAAAGGCAATTAGGAGAACCTATAGTTCATAGTATAAATGAGCGAAATTCCATCTCCCCTCCACTTGAAGGCTTTACCATGGCTCTTTCTACATTTAGAGGAGATTTCCGTACCCTCTCTTAATATGGTGCCTATAAGGTAATTAGTTAGTGTCATTTAAAGCCTAATGAATTGCTTAATCACAAAACCTAAATAACTTGAATAATTTTACTACTTTGCACCTTTACAAGGCATTCTTGGTCTAAAGTCCATTCCCTCTGCCCTCATCCAGTCTGTAAAGCAACAAGAAAAAAGTACACAGCTCAGAAAAGGATACAGCATTACTTATTCACTAACATCTTTCCACTTCCAGTCTAGTCCATGTGCTTTAGACTCTTCTCAAAGCAAATGAATAATTGTGCTACTTGCCTAATCCAAAGGTGTCTATGACTCCCTGTCTACTACAGAGAAAATGGATTTACACCGTTTCCCTGACACACACCCAGTGACCTTTTAGACTACTTCTTCTGGCATTACTTTGTGAACAAGTTTTGTGCTTTGATTTTCCATGCTCTCCTCTGCTTGAGTGCTGTTTCCCTCTACTGCTCCCTGTTGGATTTCTGAGAGCTCGCCCTTTAAGGCCTGAGTTGATTACCACCATGTCTCTGAGTTTCTAGTCTTTTCAGTTTGATAGAATTTGTGCCTATTCTATGTTCTATATAATTTTCTTTAAACTTTTTAATGACATTATTTAATTGTTGGGTCTAACATTTACTTAGGTCCACTTGCCAGTGCATTCAGTATATTTATCTTAATTGCTCAGGGCACCAGGGACTGGAAATGCCAAGATAAATATTTATATACCCATAAGAAGTTTAAAGTATAATAGAGGAAGAGGGGGCACAGGGATAGTGCAGGATAGCTGGTGTCGTAGTAGTAGTACTATGTAGAAGAGCTCTGGAGTTAGCCCAGGTCTTATTTTTCTACATAATGACAAATCCCTGAAGGTTTTGGCCCTACTCTTATTTTTGTCTTAATGTATGTAGTCAAGTTGATGCTTAATAAATGATCTGTAGTTGTGAAACTTATCAATGACAATTGGTGCTGTTCAATTCTAGTTACACTAACATCTTTTCAGTCTTTAGAGATATAAGAACCCTTTAAAAATACTTCTGTGGTCAACCTTCTAGTTTAAACAAGAAAATTTGATCTTCTGAGCTGTGTTTTTTCCATCATTATTGAATTTATTTGATCTGGATATGTCACTGTATTAAATATTACCTTCCTCTTCAACTAATTTTAATATTCTTTTATGTCACTAACCCTGTTTTACCTCAAAGGACTTTTCATTTATTTCAGTTAATTGCTTCTTAACTAATGAAGTTGTTACTATTCCCATTTTTGTTACTGAAAAAAACAACAACTGATAATCAAAAGGTAACTCTAGGAACTTCAAGTTTATAGCACTTCTAAATTAGAAACTACATTGTCCATTCTGGACAAATCTTGCCATATTTTAAAAGCTGTAGCATTAATACTGAGTTTTAGTATTATTTAAAATGAAGGGAAATAATGAGCTTAGGGTAAAATATCATTTTCATAGTAGATGCTAAACAAGTGTTATTTGGTCTATCAAGGTCTATTCTAAAAATATAATACAGCATCTATACCATCATTTGCCAATTAACATATTTATAACTCTTGCCAAATAGTCTCATCTTTAAATGTGTCCTTTCTCTCTCTCGAGTAAAAGATTAGCATTCTTTAACTTGTCTTTATCCTTGAAACTTAACTTTGACTATACTTAAAAATTTATCTAATTGTCAAATGGATGTGCTAGTCATTTTCTTCAATTTTTAGTCTTTTGTATTTCTAAATATTGTAAATATTTCCAGTAGATCATTTTTTCCTTGACTCTTCATGTTGTAGATTGTTTTTTTTTCTCTTACAAAAATGGAAACTCATTTTAATGCTTCTTTTTGTTCATAGTTTATATGTTGGTTAATCTTCAAACACGATTTAAGCAAACATTGTGCTCACTTATCATTTGCTATTTTGTGTATTTATTAGTAATTGCTAAAATTATTTTTAAAGCAACAGATTTGTGCTATCCGGTTTGTTAGGCCCTAGGTATGTTGTCTATTTAAGCTTAAGATTAAATAAAATAAAATATTCAGTATCCATACACGGTAGTGACATTCAAGTGCTAAAAGCTGCTGTACTTGACAATACATATATAGAATATTTCTGTCATTACAGAATGTTCTGCTGAACAGCAACATACTCATTTTTATATTTTTGTATAATATATGATGTGAGTATCTAAATTTTATTTTTTATTGATGCTGAACATTTAGATGTGGCATATACTAAATGTTTATTTTTATTTCCTTTCTTTCCCCTTGAGAAAAATCTGTTCTTATAGTATATGTGTCTTATCTAAGATTTTGGTAAAAATGTAGGTTTTTAAATTTTTTTTAACCTGTAGATGGACACAATACTTTTATTTATTTTTATGTGGTGCTGAGGATTGAATCCAGTGCCTTACATGTGCCAGGTAAGGAGTCTACCATCGAGCTACAACTCCAGCACCTAAAATGTAGTTCTTACCTTACATTGTAGTCTGCGGCTAATAACTAGGCCATTTCTGGAAAACAAATAAACAAACCAGTATACAGAAGTGTTTTTACAGTCAATTTTTTTAAAATATTAATATAAAGACCATCTCTCCCTCCCCTTCAATTCCCATTTTGGCAAAAATACTGCTAGTACATTGGTCCATTGACTCTCTCACTTTCCAGAGTTAAGATGTCCTAAATGTTGGTATTATTTACACAGTTTCTTCCAAACCCATATTTTATTTAAATAAAAAGCTAATTCCTCAGGGAAGAGGATTTTTACAAGCAATTTTAGAGCAGAATTGATTTTGGTGTGTGTTAATGCAGACAATCTGCCCAGTGTTAAAATGTTAAGGAGAAAAAAAAAATACAAGCTGCCATATTCGTGTGATCA